AGGAGGAGTAGGTGCCATGAGTGCCAGCTCGCCTTCCAGCAGGGTGAAGTTCGCACGAACAGTGAAGAGGCGCAAGTGCACCCTCCATATTGGCATGCTTCATGTGAAGCCTCCCTCGTGGGGGCCGCCGACGACATCGAGGGGCTGCGCCGCCGCTTTCCCGCCCGCTGGTTCGCAGGCGGGGGATCAGCGCCAGTTAGTTCCCTGGGCGACGGCAGTGGCTGAAGACACTGCAGATGATCAGAAAGATCGCGCGAGCCTGGTCAGCCTGCACCAGCTGCGGAAACTCGAGTGGTGGAGCGGATCGCTAACGCAGGCCCTGGGCTGCTTCTACAGACGCTGGCCGTCGGGAAGCGCGGGAGGCCCCCGCCTAGGCCCTGTGAGGGAAGCTGGGAGCCTGTATTTGCTTTCTCGCTTTCAATCGGATGGTTTTCGGGGAACTGTTGGAGGCGGGCGAGGTGCAGCCGCGCAGCGTGGCTGATAGGGTAGCTGGCCGTCTCCGTGGTTTTTGGGGCGGAAGCTGGGAGTCCCCACCCCAGGACACAGCTGTGTGCACCAACGCCGCAGCAGGCCCCAGTTCTATGGGCTCGACGATGCGGAATGTCCGTGGACTGCTGCTGAAAAGGCGAGATCTCTTGGGCTGCCTCCGCAGCGTGCGGATGCGCTCCAGGCGTTCGGGCAACAACGCCCGCCGCAGCAGGACCCGCAGTGCGACCCAGGTGGCGTGCCTGGGCTCGTGGCGGCCGCGCGGCTCCGAGAAGACGTCCAGGCTTACCTGACGAGGAAGTGGACCAAGACACCCCGAGACGCCAGCGCGGGGGTGCATGGCGATCGTTACGAACACTGGCAGCCGCTCGCGTTCCTGGAAGCACGGGGCGCGGCCACCGCAGCAGTGCTCTCGCTGCTCCAGGGCCAGCGGAGGCCCTAGACTTGGCTCTTCCAGGCAATCTGCTGGGCGCGGCAAAGAAGGGCGGCGGTTCCAGAGTGTTCGCATGCGGGCCATCGCGCGCCGCATGGTGGCCAGGACTGTGCGCGCCGCCCGCTTCGACAGCATCCAGAGAGCTGTCTCCAAGCTCCAGCGCGGGGTTGGCGTCCCATGTGAGGTCGAGACGCTGCGCGAGAGCGTCTCCGCAGGTTCAGAGCAGTACCTTGACTTTTCGCGCCGCCCCACCTCAACAGTGTGTCCAACCGCGTGCGTCGCAGGGCGGTGCTGCGCCGCATGCGGGATCGCTGCCAGGAGCTGGAGGGCCTGGTGGTGCACTGGTGCGGCCCCTCGACGGTGCGCTCAGCTGCGGGGGCTGGCGGGGTGTCCTACCTGGTGGAGCAGCAGCAGGGCTTCGACCAATGATGCCCCCTCAGCCTGGCGCTCTCTGGCATCGGCGTCGCTTCAGAGCTCTGCGCCCGGTAGGACTTTCTGCGCGCCCTAGACCCCCGCGGCAAGGTGTGGGCTTGCATGAGGGGCGCCTGCCTGGCGGTGCCGAAGGCGCGCCCGCGCCTGGTGGTGGAAGCCGCGAGCGCTCTTTTTGCCGACCCGGACCGCGAGCTGAATGCGAGGAAGACGAAGGTCTGGTGCCCAGACGGCCTTGTGGATTCCTTCCTGAGTTAGCCATGAACCAACTGCGTGCGATGAGTATAGTAATCCATGGGATCTCAACTGTGAGGTGATGTTATCAAAAGCGATGACAATTATCAGTGGCAGAGCAGCCTCGTGCAGCTTTCAGCTGGTCACATGTCTTCAGCGCGGAAAGGCTGCGGCGTCAAGTGGATGAGCGGAATGGCGGATCACTGGATCAAGCGCTTCAAGTGTGCGTGAGAAAAATGTGAGATTCGGGAAAGCAGTTGGGTGTTCTTCATCATTGAATACCCCGCGGGGGCGTCAAGTTGGACCGCGCCGCCAAAGTGGATGATGTAGTTGCGCGAAATTATATTGACATATGACGGTGGCTTGTGATGCTACCAATGCGTGCGAAAGAAAGGCCGCCCGCGCGCGATGATACGTTGACCGAATGCACGGGGGCGCGACGCCCGAATGCTTCGCCGAGAAGTCCGCGCGGGCGGCCCGAGAGTTTTGACCGTGTCTTGGGGGCCGCAGAGATGAGCGCAGCGCCGGCGCCCCTCCGCCCCCCCCAGATGCAAAACTGGCGAGACCGACGGGAGACGACTGTCATGGACCTCATCGGTGACATCGTCGCGTCGCTTTGTTGCTCAGCTTTGCATCGCTGGGCGGAGGGGGTGGCGCGGGCCGCGCGCGCGTCCTGGCGCGGCGACAGATTCGGTTGCCGCCGCATGGGCGCGTCGCTGGTTTCCGTTTCGACCGCTTCCCGAGCGGCGGAATTTTCTTTGGGCAGCGCGGTCGGGAATTGTCGGGCCCGGCAAGGGCCGCGACTGTCCGCGCTGGCGGCGATGCCGCGTAAGCGTGAAATGTGCAAGGGGGTGGATGTATGACTCGGCGGCTAACTCCCGCGCGGTTGTTTTTAACGCGCGCCCTGGTATGTCCCCAGGCAGGTTGACCAAGGAGAGGAGGCGCTCATAAAGCAACCCGCGCGGTTCATGATTGGCGGCCCTATATCGGAAGGGCGCCCGGCGTGAGGCGTCGAGGTCAGCGTCTGCATATCTAGTGGCCAGGAGGGGGCCGAGCGACGAGAACAGATGTGCATGGGGACTGATTATGTCGGTGTTTATTCGGAAGTCTGGGTAGCCGGATCCCCGCCGACGACCGATTGGGGCGTTCCTTCAGACCTTGTGAACCGGAAATTGGCCGGAGTGAGGTTGGGCGAACGCATGGGAGTTAATGGGGTCGGGTGCTTTCAACGCGGGGGCAGCAGTGGGCGCGCGTTAGCCCGGGCCAGAAAAATGCCCCCTCATCTTTGGCCTGCCGCCCCCCGGGGAGTTCAGGGCCAGCGTGGAGTTCGCGCCCGTGCAGAGTTAGTCAGGACTTGGCGCCGGACAAGTGCTCGTGGAAATTGGGGCAAGTGGAAGTGATGGGGAAGGGGCGGGGGGGGTGGCCCAGAGGAGGAGCGCGCAATGTCGCCACTTGATTCTCCTGCCGCGTTGCCCGGCACGCTGGGCCGCGTCGGTGCGCGCGCGGGGCGCGCCGACGCCGGGGGTTGATGAGGGCCCCAGGGGCGCGCGAGTGATGCGGGCTCGTTGCGGAAGTGCACCCGGATGCCTTGGGAGGCGTATGCGCGCGTCACCATCGAGATGGTAGCGCGCGGGCTTGGAGCTGCGCATCAGGAAGCGAGCTTGGGCCAGAACTATCGTTGCAAGGCTCGGGGTGAGGGGGTGGGGCAGTCTAGGTGGCGCGAGGGCTATGGGGGCGCGCGAGAGAAGGAATGCTGGTTTGTGACGGTCGGAGCCCCCGTGGGTGCGAGATGGATTGATTTCGATCACAGTGGCGGGGCCAATCTTGAGTGCCGACCGTGGCTTGTGGCCCGCCGCGCTAAGGATTCCCCCAGTGAAGGGATCTTTCGCGGCCGCTCATGCGTTGGATGCCCAAGAACTCGCTCTGCGCGGCAGTTGCCGAGGGCGTGGGGCGCGACCGAGGCGGGCGCGAGGAGGGGTCAAACTGACGTTAAGGGGGCATGCTTGTGCGCCCAGGCAGGAGGGCGTCTCCATCTGGTGGCGCGGAGACGCTCGTGAACTGGGCGCGCGTGGAGGTCGATTGAAGTCGCTGCGCGGCGCCCGCGGCGTCGCCGGAATTTGGGGCGATGCTCCGTTCATTTAGCGCGTGGTATGGGCTTTGGCAGCGGGGGGGCGTCGCTGTGTTTTTCGAGACGGAAGGCGCGGCGAATCTGGATGGCGGTGCGTGGGGTCTACTGGGGGCGCGATGTTGACCCCGGCTCGTTCGACGGGGGGGCCCCGGGGGAATTCGATGTCTGAATCCAAGGCGGACTTCGCGTCGGGGCCGACATATTTGGCGTCGATCAGGTTTCTTAGCTGGGCTTAGAACGGGGCCGGGATTTTGCGCCGCGCGAGGCGGATCGAAGGCGCGCTGAAATATGCGTCAATGGCTTGGGCCTGGAGCAGTGCGATTTGAGTTGCGACGTGCCGGGTGAAAACATACCTCGCGAAGAGGAAGATGAATGGGGCCATCTCCAAATCGCGGGCGGGGGGGGGTGCCGCGCTTTAGTGGCCAGGGGGGTCATTTCGCCCGTTGTCGCTCGGACGTGCAGTCTTGAGTCAAAGAGCTCGTCCGCTCCATGTCGGCGCCCGCTCGAAAGGCATGGGGGGGTCTTGCCAACTTAGGTGGGCGCCTCAGGGGCCAGAACGGGCGCGGGTATCAGCGTGTGCGTTGAAGACGTCCTCAGGGATACCGGCGTGGACTGGTGCCGACCGCACAGGATGCAAGGGCGCGCTCGCGTCGACATGTGGAGGGGCAGCTTTGGGGGGGTCACTCTTCGTAAAGGCGTGGACTTCGACCCGGAGTGTAGCGGCATTTTCATTTTTTGGGGCAGAATGTTCAGCGGCGTTTAACGGTGCTTCAGTGGCGTCAGGGCTGCAATCGGTTCGCAGGGGTTCCGAGAACTGTCGTGGTACCCCGTTGAAAAGCGATGCAAGTGCAGCCGCTGCCATGGCGATGGTGCGCATATCGAAATGGAGAAATCACATCGATGGGTGCCAGCTGTGAGTGCAAGAGAAGGTGCGACGCGGATGCGTCGAAGTGATCGAAGTAGGGGCTCATGGGGATCTTGCAGCGTGTCTGATTAACTATGTGAGCATAGGCAGCATGTCCATACATGTGCGACGTACAGACAATTGCCTTATAAAAACGGAGACATGAGTGTTAGTTTTAAAGGAGCCGTATCCGGGTCATCCAGGTGCTTGTATGTGCGTTTGTATGCCCAAATTAGTGAAGATGCTAGTTATATATGCTCGCATGAGTTGTTGCTTTGCGACGTCTGCAAATATCGTATCGCGTGTTAAAAAGGGAGAGCCTGCGCGTTTCGCCCGAATTTTAGTCGCTGCTTGCCTGCGCCGGACATGCGCTTCAGACTGTGTACTCTTTGATTGCACTTGCGTGGTGTATATTTTTGCTTGTTCTTGTGGCCATGGTTTTCATGTGATGATGACTTCTGCCGCCAATTTGGCCATCGGACTTCGATCGCGGTGTGTGTGTGTGTGTGTGCTATTTTTTAGGCGCCCGTGCCTGGCAGGAGATGCGTTGTGGCAGATTTGTGCTGTTATTTTTTGGCCCTTCGAAGTAAAATGCCATGCCGCGGGGGATTGGCTTATGTTCTGTTTGCCTTCTCATTCAAAACCAAGTCATATTTCCAGGAGGATCACGAGGAGGAGGAGGAGGGGGAGGAGGAGGAGGAGGAGGAGGAGGAGGAGGAGGAGGAGGAGGAGGAGGAGGAGGAGGAGGAGGGAGAGGGCTTAGGTAGGCCTGGCATGGCACTGAGCGCTTGGCAGTCGAGCGTGGACGTTTGGTCTCCTGCGACGGGGTCCGGGTTTTTTGTGGCGGGCTGGGCCCGTTCGCGCTCCGTGGGCCATCCCTCCCTTCCCGGGTTTCCTCGTGCCACGGCCTGGCTGTGTTGGGAGGGCGAGGAAAAGAGGACACATGGGGATTTGAGGGGAATTGAATGGACGGGCGGGGGTCAAATCAAGTCCGTTCCAGCAGCCCATGAAGGCCTTGCGCTCAAGCAAAGCGGCAACAAACGCGCGCATGCAACATATCTGCAGTCTTGCGCCGCATCCGCCGACCCGTTGTGTTTTGGGGGAGCGTTGTCTTGGGACTGCATGGGGGAGGGATTCTGGAAATGCAACGATGGCAGGCGTGAGCCACACTGTGAGAATAAAAGGCTGTTACTCCATCCTTGCACTAGTTCGGGCATGACGCTATGGGGGGATGTTTCGGAGACGATGAGGGCTTCAGCTCTACTGTGCAATGGTTGCGGGACACCCCCTCCTCCTCCTCCTCCTCCTCCTCCTCCTCGTCTTCCTCCTCCTGGTGGAGTGCGAGGGGGTTTTGGGGGGCGGGATTGGGGAGGAGAACGGAGGACGGGAAGGCTGGGCAGGGGTCGGGGAAAGAGGCGGAGGAGGAGTGGCGGTGGCGGGAGGGGCACAAGGGGGGAGGGGGAAGAGGCGATGGACGGGGCATAAGGGAGGAAGGAGAACTAGGAGCGGGCAGGGGAAAGAGGAGGCGTAGGATGAGGAGGAGAGGGAGGACGGGGAGGGGATGGGGAGGAGGATGAGGAGGAGAAATACGACCCCTGTATCGATCCGCCCCCTAATGCTCCTTTTTCCACCTTTTGCAGTGCGCCGCCCCTTCACCGCCGCGAGGCCAAGGAGGATGCCGCTCCGGCCAAGTCGAAGAAGGACGTATTGCCTGACAAGGGGAGAGCATGGCGAGGAGGGGCAGGTGGATGGGGAGGGTGGGTCGTGGTTGGGGTGTGGGTGGAGGGAGACGGGAAGCGGGGAGGCGGTGAGGTCAGCGGGATGGGGGGTGAGGAGGAGGAGGAGGAAGAGGAGGAAGAGGAGGAGAAAGAGGAGAGGGAGTAGGATGAGGAGTCTCTGGAGTCTCTGCCTGATCGCGTAGCGATATAGGAGGAGGAGGAAGAAGTGGAGGAGGAAGAGGAAGAAGAGGAGGAGGAGGAAGTGGGGGAGGAGAGGGCGGATGATGACGACGATGAAGACGCTGATGATGCTGATGATGCTGGTGATGCTGATGATGTTGATGATGATGCTGCTGATGATGATGATTACTATACTGTTGATGATGATTTTGTTGCTGCTGATGATGATGCTGATGATGATGATGCTGACGATGATGATGCTGATGATGACGACGCTGATGATAATGACAATGATGATGATGCTGATGATGATGATGCTGATGATGATGCTGATGAAGAGGATGAGGATCAGTATGAGTACGCCGACGACGACGACCGACGACGACAATGATGAGGATGATGCTGCTGATAATGATGATGCTGCTGCTGATGATGATGATGATGATGATGATGATGATTGCGATTATGATAATGATGTTGATGCTGATTCTGATGAGGATGATGATGCTGATGATGATGCCGATGATGATGATGATGATGATGATGATGATGATGATGATGATGATGATGATGATGATGATGATGATGATGATGATGATGATGATGAAGATGAGGCACTTGAGGATTCTGCTGCCAATGCTGATGCTGATGCTGCTGCTGCTGCTGATGATGATGATGATGATGATGGTGGTGCTGGTGCTGGTGCTGGTGCTGATGCTGGTGCTGGTCATGCTGATGATGATGTTGATGTTGATGGCAATGTTCATGGTGATGGTGATGGCGGTTGCTGTGCTGGTCTTGATGCTGATGATGATGATGATGCTGTGGATGCTGATGCTGCTGACCATGAGGCTGCTGCTGCTTCTGATGACGATCAGGAGGAGGAGGAAGAGGAGGACGTGGGGGAAGAAAGCGCGGATGACGATAATGATGATAATCATGATGATGATAATCATGATTATGATGACGATGATGATGGTGATGGTGA